TTAAGTCGGGACTTAAGTCTAAGTTTAAGACCGACTTAGGTCCGGGGACTTAAACCGTATCATGAAAAGACTTCAGTTGGCGATTTGTTTACTTTTTAAAAGTCGTTGACAATAGTGACAAACTTGGCAAAAACCCGCAGAACAACGAAATATTTATTCTCTAATCCTTAGAATGTCGTTTTCGTCGAATTGTATCGTTAAATGTCTGAGCTATTCGAAAAATATGTCAATGACTTAAGGTTTCGGTCTTAACTTTAAGACTACACTTCCCATGACATAAGTCACCCTTGGACTTAAGTTTTTTTTGTAATACGGTAAAACTTAAGTCTAAAGACTTAAGTTAGCGACAGAGACTTAAGCCAGACTTAAGTTTTTTTGTGATAGCCCCAGGCACATAATTTATAACTAATATAGTGTATTTTGCTTTATCCTTCACTTCTCTGTTCCAGTAGAATCAATAAACGAAACTAATAATAACCGAAAAACAAAAGACTAACTTCTTCCAGTAACACTGACATGCATCAATGATAAAGCGTTGCAGTATCACGATTTCTCTAAAAGCGTGATATCGTACTGAAAGTGTTCTAAGAGCGTCAATTTTTTAGCAATAATGTTAAAGTAATTGATGTGAAAAATAGTAAATTAAGAAGATAAACGTTGAACTTATAAAAACTGAGCTTGGATAAGAGAATCTCAAAATATCTATATACGATGCAGCGCACATATTTAATTATAGAAAAAGCTGAATCGACCTAATGTACGATATTTTTTCATAGCAAAATCAAAATCGAATGTCTAGTAGTAAATTAGAATCAGTTTTCCAAAGTTTTGCTTGTCGAATGACCCATTTTAGGTTAGTTCATACACTCTAAAAAGAGATGGTTTCACAGAACCTAAAAAAGGTCCTGAATTTGCAACCACTTCTAAACCATCATAAGGTTCCGTATAGAACGAGTTTAGTATACATCCTCTATATTTCTCAGTTCAGAAATCTATCTACTAAATTAAGAATATTGCTCATGGCTTTTGAGACCTGCTTTCAACGTAAAGTTTACATTTGGACAAAAAGTTGTTACTCAAAAACATAGACACATGAATAACAGGGTCTTAAACATGGAAAGCTCTCCTACTCCTTCACACGCCACGCTAATGAGTAGACGCAGCTAACTTAAAATAATTTGTCTAAATGAAAACAACTGCTCACTCACTCACTCACTCACTGCAGCGAGTAGGATTAAACAAACTTTAAAGATTTTTTGCAAAAAGACTTCACCAGCTTCTAGTTTTCATCAAAAATTTATTTATTTTTATTTTTCGAGAACCTAACGGATATTTGAGCAGTATTTTATTAGAACATTTAATAAAAATATCAGCTCTTAATCGCGCGTAGTTATCGAGAAAAATGTATGATCCGAACGCCATATTTTTCAAAAAATAATAGTGTTGACTTCGTCTTCTGTCTTTTAGCAAGATTTTAAAAACGGTTTGATCCGAATTTTATAGTCTTTCGTTCAATACAGATCTCGGAGTTTACGTTAAAAGTGGTGTACAAAGTAGTTGATATCCCAGGAAGTTACTCTGTTGATTCGTATAGCGAAAAGATTCAACAAAACAGCATAAAAACCTTTCTAATACTTGATATACACTAGTGAGAATTGTGAATGCCGACGATCTTCGACAACTGATAAAAGTACCATATTGTCACTTATTTTCACACCTCAAATTTTTCGTTTCAATAGCATGTTGACTCAGCGGGTTTGTAGGCTAACTCAGAAAAGAGAGAAACATTCCATATGATTTTAAGAACTTTCTGTTTAATGACCTTTGCTTCATGTGTGTTTTTTCATATCGTGCAACTTTTTTTGTACTTTCAAAATTTCAGCACTCGATGAAAAATTAAAACAAACAGAAAAACATCACCTATAGATAACGACTTATCGTTAAAATAAACTGAGAGTCAAAAACTTTTACTGAATATTACAGAAGCAAATACACTAGTATTATTAACAAAGCTGACGATATGACAAAGATGATTTTCTTCTTAATACTAGTATTTATTCCATTAATGGCATGTAACGAGTTACAGGTCTACATTAACTTACAAGTTAAACGTGAAATGGACGCGTCCAACGCGTATTTATCGTTTTCCCATCGTCTGGCGACTAACGGCACTTACATGGGTTTTTCTGAATATTTTCGTCAATCGGCTGAAGAAGAACGACAACATGGACAAAAACTGATAGATTATTGGGCTTTACGTAATAAAGATACAACATTATCAGATTTAGTTGTGGAGGATGAAGTTGTTGATGCAAAAGATCTAATTGAAATGATCCGACTAGCCCACACAATGGAACAGAAAGTATTCATTAGTCTCAACAATGTTCGGACGATGGCACATAGTGCGAAAGATTATTCAACTGTTCATTTTATTGAAAAAGAAATGTTAGAAGAACAAACAACAGCTCTTAAACTGATCCATGACTTGACAAGAAAAATTGAACGAAATTCAGACGATGCAAAAATATTGTTAAACTTATTGGATCGTGATTTAAGAAAAAATCAAATCAAAACTGTAAAACCTTAATTGTATGTCTGCAAAATCAACGTATTTTCGAACCGAGAACTCATCATACCTTGTTGATCTTTAAGTATTCTCGGCAAGTTCATTGTGATGCACTCAGTTTATTCAAGAACTACCACAGATTGAGTTCTCTGTGTATTTTTTTCTTTTAGTGTGTATATAGTACTATTATACATATCTATAGCAATGTTCATCTTTTCATTACAGTGACTTTTTCTGGAAACTAGTGCGATGTATCTCAAACGGAAGTCTGCAGAATTTTGATTAAGAATACAGACTTTAATAAGTTTTGAAATGTTGGCACGTTGTTTGCGACATGGGCTTTTGATGTAACTTCATAAAACAGAAAGTATTCCCTCTCATGATTACCAGTTTAGTCAACCGTCACAGGGCAGAGGGAATATCAATGCTTTTCGATCATGTAGATTTTTTACTTTCAGCCATCTGTAAATTTATATCAGTAATATTGAATCAAGTTTTTGCACACATTCATCCTTTAAACAATTTTTTTTTGCACTGTATATTTGAAAAGAATTTACGAGAAACAATGAAAAGAGTGTCATCGTGTAACCGTAACTTTGATCTATAGATCAACAACTAGACCTTTGATCAAAATTTTGATCCGACATTTCAACAGCCCTACAGTATAGCTAGAAATTCTCTCTTTGACACTCTTACCAATATTAGCTACATTTAGAGAAAATCATAACTCTTCAATGGTCACTAAAGAGAACTTCCATTTCTGGTCATTGCGTTACCGGCTGGATAAACGCTGTAGTATTTAAACGATATCTGAACGCTTTTTACATCAGTTATAGAAGCCATCGAGATGTATTAAATAATGCAACATTTACTCTTACTCCTGTTCATACCTGGGAGAAAATAAACACTAGCACGGAGAATGTGTCATCCCGTTATCTGCGAAGAAGCATCTTGTACAGTTAAAGATAGATAATGAAAACAAGTGGAAGAGTTAGACTTATGGACTGTTAAAGATATTAGCCGATCTAAAACTTGCTAGTAATAAAATAGTGTAGGGAAATGAAGCAATCTTTGGAATCATGGCTAGCAAAGGGTGACAGAGTGACAACGATCATTCAAATAAGAAAACAACAGGTCAACAAGTTACAAGTTGTTGAGGATAGATAAAATCGAGCACCTTGTTAGAAGCTTTAACACAATGTTTTCTATTGTAAACCGCGTTGAATAGTAACTTTCTGATGCCTCAACGATCTTTTCGAGTTCGTTAATAAATAGATATTATGAAAGGCTTCGTTATAAGCGCTATTTAATCCAACATTAACCATTTTTAAGCCAAAATTAATCCATTTAAATAAATGTATGTGCGACAATCTTGACCAATTGTCTATTAGTTCGGAAAAAAATCCTTTATGGTTTAGCGATGGCAATTTCAGCAAAACTCGTACACAAGATAGATCTAAATCGATGCCTTTTTTTAGTGATACACAACTCCATATTCGAAGATATCGCCACCCAGTTGCGCAATTGATGAAATATTATCATAGTAATATGGTTCATACGAGTTTTCACTCACTAACCAGTGTACTAAAGATTGCAATTGTCACATACGGAAATGAACACTGAAGTTCTTTCTGTGTAACAGCCATCCTTTCTCTATGTGTGAAATCGTTCATTAGGTGCTGGAACTGTTTCATTCTTATTTATAATAAATAAGAATGAATTAGTTTAAATGAATTAACTACACGAAAGTATCATCATCTGATGCAAGTAGCCGATTCATTTTGTGAAAATTTACAATCAAATATAGCATGACAACATAGTATTTTTCAAAATAAAAATAGTTTTATTTGTAACCACAAATAGTACCGGATGGCCCAAAATGAATGAACCTCTCTTTGTTTCAAAAGATCGCCCGTTCGATTCTCTACGAAAATCTTTTAAGGGAATTCTTACGACGTTTCAAGGTACAAAATTACACGCGTAGTAGGAACCGGTTCTGACAGAATCAACTTTTCAAAGTATTTTTTTCAGAAGATCTGAACCTTCTTTTATGTTGATTCATGCAGTGAGTTACATTGACTATAATGCAATAGGAATTTGTCTTCGGAACAAAAAAATCCAACGTTACATCATTGATTTTTGACAAAAATAGAGGAATTCCACTAGATCATATAGTGTTGCCTCTTTTTTCACCTGATAAACACGAATGTAAATGTTCACTGGGTGCAACTTGGCCTTCTGCCGATTATATTCTTCAGACTACATGATCGGAAGAATGACTTCGTAACAATTACAAGTCATTATAGTAGAATTATAATTTATAAAACGGCATTGAACACTGCTCTGTAAAAAAACAAGTGCCCCGAAGCACATTTTTGGACAATGAATGGAACACTTTTAGTAGTGTGACACTACTAAACCTAGCGAACCTAGCGATATAATATACATTCTCTGAAATTTCAAGCGTGAATGTTTTCTTCACATACGGCAAACCTTATCGGCAACGATTTCGGTACCTTATCGGTAATATTCACACGCGAACCATAAAACATCAACCGCTCTCACTTTTATTTTGAGATCAAATGCCAGTTATATATCGAACCATAACTGAGAAGCAAAACATAGGAGAACTTAAAGTAGTTTGTGACTGAAGCTGTTTTACAAATAACAGTCCGAATTTTTCTTCAGAAGAAATTGCCTCTTGGTATTTTACTACTATCAATTTGAGCTATTTCTTTTTGCAGAAGATGCGCCTTGCTCTACAAAATCATACCTAAGCTATAATTTCAGAACTTCAATCAAGAAAACTAAGCCAATTAGATGAAAATCGACAAAAATGAAAATCTTCCAAACTCAAAAATGAATTCTTGTGTTAACGTTTTAAAAGTAAGAAAAACTGAATTTGCCGTTTTGTAGCCCTGACTTCGCTCTATCTTTTAGCTATGCTTCAAATTTTTTCACATTAAAAACCACGGCGAAATAATACCTTCTCTGTCGGTTGCCATGCATTTTTTCATTAACTTTTTAAATTTTGGGTATAGCAGTGCTTTGAGTAAAAGTCCCATAACTCTATCAGAGTAAAAGCTTTTTCGATTGGGTTTGTTTTGTTTTGATCAAAAATGATTGCTCTTCTCTATCTAACTGCAAAACCAAAACTTCAATCATGTTTTCTGTGTCTTGCTTGAGCACATTGTTGGAAACGGAGAGGTTATCAACTTTTGACGTATTTTTGTAACTTCGTTCTCCAGCACGCCATCTGCTCTAAAAAAGAATTTTTTCAGACCATGAGAAAGAGCCCATTTGAAAGTACCAAACATAAATTGAGTTCTCACTTTTGCTACACTTTTATAAATCGATAGAAGAAAAGGGAGAAAAGATGAAAATACCAAGAGAACAATTTCTTCTGAAGCACCCGTTAAGAGTTCAATAAATCGTTAACATAATTCCTATGAAAAGTGGAGAAGAATTAGAGAAAGAAAGCGTATTTATAAATAGAATTGTCCTGTACTCATTTAAACCTCGAAGCGAGCCCGAGGTGAATGATCGACCTTGACTGTATTATGTTTCTGAAAAGAAAACTGGGTAAAACATGGTGAAATCAGTGTGTCATCTACCTTCAAAAGTATTTTTTTCTGCAACCATTTCTGTAGGGAAGATGTCTTCTTTGCAGATTTGATTCTTAACTCAATGAAGTCGGACAATGAATGAATCAGTGGTTTTCTTTATTTTTGTTTCTATACTCATTTTTTTGCCAAAGATAATTTAGTCTTTATTTTGTTTATATATTTTGGAGACATAGAGTCCGAAGCAAAACACATTTTACTCTAATTGGTCTGAATGCACCATGTTCTCGAAGAAAACATCGAGTAAAACATGTTGCGTCTCGAATGTCAAAGAAGAAGCCATCAACAAGTATCTCGAAAAAATAGCCGTGAATGATAGTAACTCAACATATACTAACATATAGTAGCTCTTATGAAAATCGTATATAAGAATCTTATAACTACATTATGCATTTCTATCGACTGGAGCATATAAGATTTTCGTAAGATTTCTATAAGATTCTTGTAAAGTTCTTATAAGAAAATTATACGAATCTTTTATAAGATTAGATCTCTAGGGTCGAAAATGAATTCCTACATTTAAGTTTTCATCGTTCAATAACCTAAAACCATTGATTGCTGTTTTTAACTGAAGAAGAAGAAAATACCCTTCCTTACCGAGAAGCGGTGTAGGGTGAAGATCGAAATAATAAAAACACAAAAAAAGGAGTTAAAAAATTGGAGGTATTCTCTAGAATGCAAAATGTTCTAACAGTTTGTTTCCCGTTCGTTCGTCGTAAAAGCCGTCAATGATAAGATATACCATCCGCGTGTCATCACAAAGAATGTAAAAATCTCGCGCTGGTGCGCGCCAGTGCCGAAGTTTTATTTTAAATCATCATTTTGTTTTGTCAATTTCTGTCTATATTAACATGTGTGTGTCTGTTTATTCTCTGACGCCACTTATCTTTATTCATTGTTTCTCTTCGCCAGTTTTTTATCCCAAATTTGGTGAGATCATCCATAATTTTATCCTCCCACCGTATTTTTAACTGAGTATTTTCATGAACTCAATTCAAAACTACTACATTACATTTTGGATCATCATCTGCTGATATGATAGATGCTGTCATTTCTGAAGTTCGATGTGATGAAAACAGATGCGATGTTGTTGGTTGTAATGCTGTTGTTTATCTTTCATCTAATAATAAAGTTCTTGTATTGTATCCCAATTTCTGGTGTGCATACAGATAAACATTCAGAAACTGAGATAATTGCAGTTCTTGGTGTAATGGTCGTGTTGTTGGATGTTAAAGATTAATCGTAATTTTGACATCTCGATATTTTGGTAATAATGTTATGCGATTATTGAAGCCTCTGGCAAAAATTCCACCGGCTTCTTTTTGCAATTATAATTTTTCTATTTCTTTTGAAAGTTAAATAAAATCAATAGAAGGACCACAACCTACCAATAATTTAGCATCAAGAAGCATAAACTAGATTTATATAGATTTGTCGATTAACAAGGTGTACAATCACTTGATTAAATCTGCAGTAGCTTTTGACTCTGTTTCTCATTCCTTTTTGCTGGAAAACTGTCTCATTGCGATATGGGTGGTTGTTTACTTTGTCTTCTTATCTTAACAATGTTTATAGTGTGTGGGTATGAATGATACTATCTTCATTCCTTATTCTGTTTCTTCTGGCGTTTCACAACACGTGCATCTCTTTCATTTCTAATTTTCATTAACACTTCGTCTTTCTCTTCCTACGAATTGGGAAATATGTCTGTTGTGCTTATGATGTTTTCTTAATTATTTCTTTCTTCTTCTAATGCGCACGACTTTTCTTATATTCAAGATTGTATAAAGTCTATTTCAGATACGGGCGAGTCCGGGGGGTACCGAGTCCGAGTCCTTGCAAGTTCAAGCCGAGTCCGAGTCCTTAAAAGTTCAAGCCGAGTCGGAGTCCATTTCGAGTCCGGTAATCTTTTAGATTCTTTTTGATGAAGGTGGTTTATATTTTAATTTGCTCAGCCATGGATAGATATTTGATTTTTCGAAATACCAGTGCGTTCCATGTCCGTCTCTCGAACAAAATTTTCAATTTCATGTGAAACAGTAGGTGTTGTTATTTCGCTTTTCATTTTTCTCTGCTCATTTGTGTTAAAAGTTGAATAGATCGGACTCGAAATACAAAAACTAAAATCCGAGTCCGAGTCCTTCAAAAAAATCTCCAGTTCGGACTCGCCCATGCCTAGTTTCAAGTTGGTTTTCCTGCAGAAGAGGCGAAGAGGCAAAACCGTGGGGGGGGCAGTAGGAACGCCGCTCTCACAAATTTAGGAATGCAAAAAGCGTGGAAATGGGATGCTAAGTGGTCCACTTAACTTTATGAATTAGTTCTTTGCATTCATCCTGCAACCTCTGTATATTTCCTATCTCTGACTCCTTTTTCTTTGTTTATCACAAACGTATATTTGACGAAGTCCCGAGAAACAACGGCTTAATCTCGATTCATCTCTAATTACTTATACTTACTCTTGATGCCGATGTGTCAAAGCAGATAAAGGTAGAAATTCTATGCGTAATGCAAACCTGACTATCGTTTTACTACGTGTTCTCACGTTTCTGAGCCATCTCTTTCTAATCTTTTTCTAAGTCACCAGTATTTCAGACTTGTTCAGTTCTTAAAGTTTACCATTAACTGGAGTTAAATGGAAACAGCGTCTAAGAGAGTATACTCGCCTGTTTTTTTGACTGAGTTACTGACTAGAATAAGCTTCCTGAGTCGATCATCGGTTGTTTGTCTTTATTACCTTTCAAAAAAGCTCTTTATATATTAAACCTGTTTTCTTAATGTTAAAAGTCAACTCTTTATCCCAGTATTTCCAGTTTCCTCATCTGTTCATTTCTTTTTTCTTTTTGTTAGAAATCTATTTGCTCACTTTTTCTAACGAAGTAATTTCAAGTCTTTAGATCCTTAGAATACAGCGCCTTAATATACGCGTATACGTATAAATAAGATATATATATATTATTCTACAATGAAATGAACATGAGCATACGAAAGGTCGAATGCTTGTTTTTTATTCGTTTTTTATTGGCCAATGAATAATTATATCTGCGATGTAGAGCGTATACATATTCATTTATTTTATCTTTTTGTTTCTTTGCATTCTAAATAATATCAGTGTTGAGTTGTTGATTGATTTCCATATATCAAAGAAAAATGGTTACATTGCTCTTTATTCAAAGTTAGACCTAGATATGCAGCCATCAACACGAAAGAAACTTTCGCTACTGGATTGATCGTTAACTCAAAAATCAAAGGAGATATCAGTCCGTGAATTTTAGATAAACCAATTTTGGATAATATATTATTTCTTTACTGGACTCATTTTTCTTCGTTAACGCAAAGGTAAACAAGAGGTACGCTGAACAAAAATTTTAGTGTTTATTGAGCTGGGGTGTGATGTCTTGCATTTTTTCGATCAAAAATTACTAATGACTAGATGAATAGTTTTTTTGATTTTTTTTTAATTGTGAAGCTGAGATTTGTGAATAGCATGTACGAATTACTTTGCTTTTATGTAGATTGACATGTGCGTCGTTTCTAGGTGATTTTGTCGACAGAATTTTGTGTGCTTGTCAAGAGATGGTAGATTTGTCAATAAATGCGCACGGCTTTGGTGACTGGCGAGGGCACTAGGTGTCCTCAAGTTTTCCTCGAACTATGCTTGCTTATGAGCAATATCTGATGCTGATCACGAACCTGGTAGTTCTTTGGACTGATACTGCTTTTTAAATCGGTCATTAGAGGTCATTATTTCTAATGGCTTCTAATTCTCGTTAAAACAAGGCGATCTTTCGCTTGTAAAAGTCAATTTCCACCTTGCGTTCGGCTCTGAAAATGGAGAAAAGCACTTTGTATGTTGAAACTGGCATGATGAATGAATTGTTACAATAAATATATTGTTCATCGTTTTATTTCTATATTTTCTATATTTTGCTTTACCTGTCGCTAACTGGATGTCTGTCACATGTATTTCAAGAAACACATGGCTTTTTCTTCGTTGCACTTGTACTACAATAACTAGCGCAGGACAGTTTTAATTCAGGTTAACAAGTTGAGTTAGGTCCAAGTTTCAGAGCACAATCGAACCAGGACCGTAAATATCGGGATGGTATGAGAGAGTGTGCACCATCCGAATAATTGAAAGTTTTCTCGTTTTTTTTCCAGCAAAAAGTTATTAAAGCATTAATTTTTTCACAGTATCTGTACGTGTTTCTCTTTAGATGATTGAATCTTCACTTTATTAGTTTTGTGTATTATGCCATTTGATGTTAGTTTATCACCATAATGAATACGTATCAAAAAGCGAGAAAAGCATCGTCATTGACATCAGCAATAACTTCTACAAACAACAACAGCAATGGTAACAACCGGCAGAGCATAGCAAACACGCTCAAGGTATAAAATTTAGCTACCGTCTTTACTATCTAGATAAATAAATTTGTCAGCAGACATTGGGATTGAATGATTTTCATGAGAAAACGTTGAGTTCTAGTACATTTTTTTAGATAGCTTATTCTACAGCTTCAAGATTTGTTAATGAAAAACAGCTGGATCAATCAGTTTGTTGCAGCATGCTTGTTACAAAGATTGGACAAAATGTTGCACTTAACCTATCGTTTTTCTTTTTACTTTTACAGCGTAATCCAAAATTCGAATTGAAGAAAGATGAACTGGTTCTACTTCTGGGACGATTTGAGGCTGAGCTTCAAGCCAAAGAGATTGCACTAGCAACGATGAAGGTATTTGACTGTGCTTTACTCATTACTAGTATAAACGTAAAAAATTATTTTGTTGATCTGTTTAGTCTGAAAAAGTAAAAACATTATTATACAATGCAAGATTTGGCCGTTTAACTGGTAATTCGGATCCATATTCGGCTTTATTGCGTGATAGTGAAACAATCAAAGAAGATTTTCTTAGTGAACAAATTCCAATGAGAAATGTATATGAAAGTCAGTTATTACAATTAGAACATTTAATTGTACAACAAAAAAAACAAGTGCAGTTATTAAAAAATATTTTAAATGATTCAGGCAAAAAGTTCATGACAGTTAGTATATTGTGAATACGCCTCTATCTCACGTAAAACTGAGTGTTTTTTGTTTTAGCTTATGCAAGAACTTGAAAGTGAAAAACGTTATAAAATTCGTGCTCAGACACTTCAAAATCAACTGCTCAAATCTCAAGAGGAAAAATTACAATTAAAAGATGATGTACGTGTTTCTGTTTTTCTCTGTTATGAATACTCTCAATGATAATAGTTTTCTTTTTTTTATAATTTCTAGTTAGATAAAACGAATCTTCACAATAAAGAATTAGAACAACAGTTGTTACAGTTACTACAGTTACTCGAACGCGAACAAGAACGTCATAAACAATTTGTTGTTGTATTAGTTAATGAACGAAAACAACTGTTTTTACATATGAAAAGTGAAAAAGAAAAACATAAACAACAAATAGATAAAATTATAGGTGATTTGGCACAAGACAAAGATGTTCATCAACAATATGAACAAAAATGTAAACAATTAAAAGATGAACATGCGCAATGTAAAGATAAATTGAATGCAAAAATTAAGCAGTTAGAAACGGAACTTGAGCTACTAAATGAAAAATGCCAGCAACACCAAACAACATCAGTAATGCGCGTTGTAAATCATCGTAAGTAATCATGATAAATACTTAATCTCAAGAGATTATTATACTCACTTAAAAGAATTAAACGACTAGATTTTGGTCTCTTTATTGATTAGCAAGTTTGAGAACTAGTAAAATTAAAAATATACTAACATATTTTTTAATCTTTCTGTAGGACAAATGAGGAATTATATTTCATTATGAGAGCTTTTTAGCCTATTATTTTAGCCTATTATCCTCAACGTATTTTTAGATTCAAACGTGCTGGAACAAGATGCCAGTGAAGCGAATACGAAACAGACAAATCATATAAAAGATTCAAAATCTCTTCCAGACCACAATAAACGTACACAATTATCAGCAAATGTCCCTTCATCTAATGCACCTCAAATTCACACGAATTCAAATGTTCCCGTTACTTTTTCTCCATCAATTTCAGCACCAAACGATTCAAAATCACAATTACCTATTGTTAATAATAGTAACATTCGTCGCCCAACAATTGTTTCATCACCCAAAACACCACAACTTAATAGCGTAGCGACAAAAATTTCTTCACCACGTTTACAAGCACCATCGTCCTCTCCATCATCAGGTATTCCTGTTTCAATGACAAGTTCAACATCGTCAATTCCCGAAACAGCGCCAGCAGTTGTTAAACGAAGTATTATACCAGCTATTCATACTCGTAATGTGAATAATACTCAAATAACACCACCGTTAATGATGTCTAATCTTCGTTCACCATCCACATCTTCATATAACATTCAAAATTCTTCTACATCAACATCAACAAGCATTAGTGGTGCAGCATCTCGAGGTATTCCAAGATTAAATAAGAATGCTCTAACATCATCATCATCATCAACTGGAAATAAAACAACAAAAACATCCATAAATCAAGAACACGATTCAACAGCTGCTGTAACGACGAAACGTTTGCAGGTATGCTAGATTATATTTTCTTCTCAGATTATTTAATTAGATTTGTTGTTGGTTCATAGATTTGAATAAGAATGCAGTTTTAGTTTTTAAACGCATGGCTTCCATCATAAAGTGTCAATACAAAGAATTAGATAGGGTAACACCCTCTCTGCAAAAACTTATATTGTCCTAAAATAACCATAGTTTCCTGTGGAATAAAAAGATACTTCTTCATTTCTTTATTCTTCTTCTTCTTCTACTTATGTATAGCCTTCAAACAATCATGATCTGAAATCATCCTCATCAGACGTTATTGATGATCTTCAGAAGTTAATAGATGTTATACAGTCAGGTAAACTAGACACATATTATGTCTACATACACGCACACATATATATACTTTTAACTCCTCACACAACAGCAAGAATTTTTTGTTATTTGTTGATTAGAGTCAACATATGCATTTATACTTTCTGAATTTATAAAAACATATGTTTTCTGAAAAAAATCGCATTTGTGCTGGTGCTATAATTCATTAGTGTTTATTGTGCTTTGCTATTTGAATTTCTCTGAAGAGCCTTTATTTATATTTTTGTCCTACTTTATCATAATCCTACACAAAGATTGAGAGAATTATCTGTCATCTTGAATTTTATGTGTGTTGTTGATGTTTGCTGCTATTATCTTTCTTTTGTCCCGTTGTATTAATCTTTTATGCTTGTTTTCATTTAAATGTTTGAACGTTCACCGCAGCAACGCATGCTTTACATAACTAACGCATTATTATGTGTTTTGCTAATAGATTTATGCTTGTGAGTCACGCTATGAATACGGTTATAGCAGAAAAATTAGAATAGAGGAGACATAGACTTTCATAGCTGTTTTGTGACTAAACTTTATATTCTCACGTATATTTTGAGCTGTTTTTTATATACTTTTTTCGTGTCAGCTTGTATCATTCTTTTTGTATAATTTTTATTTTGTCGTACTTCTAGCTGTTGAAAATCGTTTAAATACAGAAGTATATCCTGCCGATTCACAATTAAACATCAATTCTTTATATTCAACAACAGTTATCAATAATGGACCGACTAATGAGCAATACGAAAATTTTTTTTCTTCTCCGTCAAGTAATGAGGTTACCATCCTTTTACGAGCAGCCCAAATGGGTGAAACCGGTATGTGTTGACGTTCTCTCTTTTCTTCGACATAATCATGAAGAGCCATATCATTTTAGATCAATTAATTAAGCTTCTCAGTTTGGGTTTAAATCCAAATACTACTTCTTCTGATGGCACCACAGGTAATAGATATGATTCTATCACAAAACAACTATAACTAAGTTATGGTTTTCTCATCATTAGCGCTACATTTGGCCTGTTTATTTGGACACAATGAGTAAGTCTGGAACTATAACATTTCTCAACTTCACGATCAGTGTTCATTTTCAGTTGTATCCGACATCTCATATCGAACGGTGCTGATCCATTCATAGAAAATATTTTTGGTGAAACTCCCTTTAAAAAGTTAACAAAGTTAGATGAAACAAATGAATTAGAGTGTTTAAAAACATTAGTTGAATATGGAAAATACTGTGTAAAAAAGAGTACTACTGTAATTAGTTCAACGGTAAAACAAAAGTTATATGTTTGATTTTAGCCACCGATGGATTTATTGTACGACTCTATTGTTAACAATCATGAACAAACGTTTGATTATGTGCTTTCTTTTTCTATTGAAAATATTGTGAATGACGAAATCATCTTATGTAAACTGGTTCGTGCTGCGTTAAGATCATCAAACACTGTATGTGTATCATTTTATTGTTTAGTATGCTTAATTAAAAACCTTTTAATATTTTTTAGCATTTTCTAGAATCTCTATTCATAGTTGTCCGTGTTGAAGATTTTGTACGTTTTATTGATACCCATTGTTTCATTACAAGCGAATGTCTTTCACTGTTATCATCGCTAAACATAAATAATAATCCAAGTGAGTTACTCTCTCTTTTTCCCTCTTCAAAGTTATACCGTTGAATAAAAGACGTTATTCTTTTGGTAAATACAATACTATCATTCTTCCTTTCGTTCACTTTTGATACAAACCGCCATAAAGGGTTGATTAATAAATTACGTACGAGTACATTTGAACTGCATTGATATAAGAAGAGAGAAACATATATCCATAAGAGAACTCTCACAAGTGTCCGCTCGCTTTTTCCTTGAAATCTACTTCATACTGATTACGAATATGTCCATTTCGGACGATGCAGTCTTTTAGGTATCTCTGAAAGACTGGTCTCTGAAGATCCACTATGAATTCCGCGACGAACAAGCTTTAATACATCTTGTTTGTTGAGCTCGCTGAGTTGTTTGTAGAAAAAAACTTTAAGAATTATCGAACAAGTTTTTTTCAATAAGCTACAGAACGTTGCTATCTTATCTGTTGCATAAAGATAATTTTACAACTTCTTTTTACAATAAACTTTCTGCAGCTTATCGAAAAGAACTTGTTCGATAGTTGTGAAAGTTTTTTACTACAAACAGCTCAGCGAGCTCAACAAACAGGATGTAGTAAAGCTTATCCGTCGTGGAATTCATAGTGGGTCCTCAGAGACCTAAAAAACTGCATCATCCAAAATGGACAACACATTCGTCATCGGTATCAAAACACGCAATCTATCTGTTATTTAAATACAGAGCAGCGAAAAAAACCTGTATTTTTATTCCATTAAGTCTTTTTGCTTCTTTTCAGTGAATATGAAACCAATTGAATTAACCGTTTGTTTATCTTCATCGACATCACTGACCAGCAATCGTGAACGTCCGTTTTCGTATGGTATCGGTGAAATTCAGTTAACGTATAATATGTCGTGGCTTGAATTCGAGAAAGCTATAATCAAAATTTACAATGAACATCTAGCACAAATTGATTCACCATTTGATTATGCAAAATGTTCAATTGGTATTACAACGAAAAGTATTAATGTGATATGTTTGGGTGAGTGAGTGAGAAAATAAAATAATTGTTATGAAAAAAATTAACAGAATTTGATTTCAGGTCAATATAAATGGTTGTACCAAGAGAGTCCAGATGATCTTAATCTTCCATACACGATTGTTCATGATCAAGCACTTCAGACAGTAACTATTTGTTTGAAAGGTACATTACAATTATATTATTATATTAAGATTATATGACACGAAATTTTTTTGTAGGTGCTGAAAGTAATTCGACAGATGCATTGGCATACAATTATTTTATTCCAAGTCAAAATTTAAAAAACTTTTCACGTTATGTAAGTAAAGTACCCTAAAAATATCCTTTACTAATTCATAAATAACAAAATTTTTATTTGAATTAGATTGAACAAAATACGTATGTGGGTGTATATGGTGCGCCGCACACAAATAAACATACATTATTCGAAGATTTAATTCGACAATTTGAACGTTCTTCGTTGCCATCATCAACAGCAAAATTTACAGTTATCAGATTTGGTTTTGAAAGTGTATCATCAATTGACGATTGTATAGAAGAATTGGTTGATGCAGGTACGTGGCGAGAAAAGTCATGTAAAGACAGTCGTATGAAAGTTCCCATCTGAAAAATAGTCTACCTGTTATTTAATTTGATTTTGTTATTTTTATAGATTTCTTCCAAACCCAAAAATGGACAACATCTACCAAAGCATCAAAAGTTAAATATTTGTTATACTTGTATAACGTTCAAAATGGTATTGGTATCGAACTATTAAAATTATTATTAAATGGAAAAATAGTATCAGATAACTGTCAAATGTTAGATTATATCAGTGAATATTCAGGTGATATATATTATAAATGACATTAATTTAATTTACTTGTTTTCTTTTCTATTTAGATTCACCATCAATAGTTTATTATTATCCATCAACATTTCACATATTTGTAACATTGAGTAAACGTACATGGTCAAATGAAAATGATGTATTAAAACAATTCAAATGGATTCCGTTTAAAATTGATGCAATGCCATGGAACGGAATATTAAAACGATATCTTTGGCGACGAATGGTTGACTATTGTATGAATAATAAATTACCCATTGATAGTGATTTGATCAAAATATTACAATATATAACAAATGTATGGCAACGATACAATGAATGTTTACAAAAATTGAGTCTTCAAGATGCTCTATTGGGTCCCGGTATTTTTTATGATTGTCCAATGGATCGTGAAAGTATTTTTGAGTAAGTATATTATTCTTTTTACTAATGTTTTAAAATGAGTGTGCTTCATTTATAGCTGGCTTCAATCAAAATGGAATAATATTATTGCACCACTTGTTCGCGAACTATCAATGAATAAATGTTCACAGCCAAACAAAAAAACATCATCAATGATAACATCGATGACAAGTCTCGAAATCAATTCACCGTACGAATCAGTTGCCTGTACAGCACTGTATGTTTTATTACATCGTACTGTTGCAAGAGAATGTCCTTTAACTGGAGAAGAACGTGAACATTATTTGTTAAATTTTGTGGGTAGTCGTTTAGAAGGTGGTATAACATCGATGCCAACTTCGGCAGCTTCGAGTAGAGCTGGTACACCTCAAGGAAATGTTCATTGTGATTTCATTTCAATACAGTTAGAATAATGATTGATCGACGAAGAAGAAGAAATATTTTTGTCTCTTTAACTGTGATATCCGATAATGTATATATTGATATACTATGCCATATAAACGAGTGATGTACAGAAAATTATTCACTAAGTATTTCTCCAATAACTATTCAATTCTCTTATTCTTTAATCTAATTTGTTTTCTTCAAAAGATGCGATACTTTAAAATTCTCTACAAAAAAACGACGGAACCTTCTGAGGTGCTAAAAACCTTTTTGAATCGGACTATTTTTAAAATGTGGCCTTTCATGAGCTATGAAGAACTCCAACTTAGTTTGGGCACAATCAGCTTTGTTGCTGAGATATGGAGTTTTTACTCGAATTTTCCCCATGGGACCTGGATTTCAAGCAAAATCGGAGTGTTGAATTTCATATTGAAACTTATCACATTTTGTAGCCTAGACTATTTGTAGTCCGATGAATGGGGTTCTTCATAACCCATGAAGATCTACATTTTAAAAATAGTCTCATTCAAAAAGGTTTTCAGCACCTCAGGAGGTTCCCTCGTTGTTTTATGACAAAATGTGTTACATAATGATTTTATTGAAATATTTTGAAAAACAGCGAAAATTTGATTTTTCTACGCAATATATTCAACGAAAGAAAGTTATTGAACTTTTCGCATCGAAATATAGCAGACGTGCTAAAGGAATAAAATCGAATTTTTCATTAGGTTAAAGCGTTAATCATTGTGAAACTTTTCTCTTCTCATTTTGTAATAAAAAATATTCAATACATTTTTGTAGAGTAGACACATCTTTCGAAAAACAATAAGTCTCAATGGTAAGAGAATTCAGAGTTATGAAAGAAATTTGATGATCAATTTTCTTTGCAGCACCAGTTATATTATTTCTCTTATAATCTCGTATAATTTAACTATTTACTTATATGTGATCGGCAGCGATATTTTCTATATTTATTCGATGTAATTGATTAACTAATCAAAGAACAAATGTCCACTGGTTTTCGGATCTTTTTTCGAACTTTTTTTTTTCTTTTGTTTGTGTTTACTGTAGCTCTTTATTTTTTAGAATATTGTTATTATTAGGAACAAAACATGTTTTTTTTTTATGCTCTGGGTTTATATAACGAATATTTTGTGTGTGTACTGGTCGATTTTGTCTTTTCACCTCCGTTGACACTGAATACATCTGTTTTTTTTTCTCTCTCTCTCTCTCACTTTTTGTATCTATGCAGTTTTTCTTCCATACCGCTTGCGAACTTTTTACTCTAGTGCGTTTGTTTATAAATAGTCTTAATTTTATTTTTACTATCAATGCACTCTGAACAACTTTTTGTTTAGAAAAATGTAATAAAAAAATGCTAACAAGATTTGTTTTTAAATTGTAACAATGATTTCAAAGAGATAAAATATTTATCTTTGAGAATCTGACAAATAAATAATCTTTGAGAGAGTTTTCAAATTGTACGTTCCAACAATCTTAGACATGGAATGCAATCTCTGATTTATTCTATTTTTTCAAAAGAACTTTCTTTCTCTCTCAGATTCCCGTTATAAATAACTTATAACTATACATTATTTGAAAAACTCATAGATTTTTTGACTTTTCGATTATGGATTATCAATAAGTAAGAATAACTTCTTTTCCGTTTTAAACTCTCTATTTACATTTTCTGTTTTTATTCATTTCACTGAGTTTTACATACCCAACATTTTGGGCAAATATGTATATGTATAGAGAATAGAAAAAATTGTCATGAACAAAAAAAAAGAACGAAGAAAACAACACAAGTAGATCAAAAAAAGTTAAAACCGACAAAGACATGTAAGAGAAATTTTAGTGTTTAAAAAGAAAAAAGATTGATGGCCATGTACAGAAAGAGAAGTTCTATTGAGTTAAAGAGACATAGAAAGAAGTAAGACTATTACAAGAAGAAGAAAAAAAAAACATATTCAGCAGGCGGACTCGATTCATTTTGTTGGGGATAATCAACCGGTGCTTAATGACTTTAGTTTTGTTTGACTTCTAGAATGGGACGTGTTATAACTTCTTGAAGTCATAGAAGGATCTATAGGAATGTCATTTGAGCTCTAAATAACGTATAGGTGGATGCCACGATACTTCTATATGCTAATGATATAATTACAATTGCTCAAAGAACAAAAATGAAAAAAGAAAAAAAGATTTGAACACCGGTTACAGGAAATTTTTGTAAATATTTAAACACAAGTAAATAGTAAATACTTCGATCATTTTGTCAACAACAAATCTTGATCATTCGTAAAAAGAAATTTTTTTTATTTTATTTGTTGAAATTTGAATTGAAGAGAATACGATATGTTCATCTATTGATTATTTCATAGAGTGTGATTATCTTGTTGTGAGGTTGCAAGTGAATCCATCAATGGTGATGTTGATGATGGTGGATACGAATTATAAGGTGTTGAATGAGCCATTTGTGTCATCATCATTGGATGAGTATGTCCACTTAATAACATATTTGAATGAACAGGATTTCGAAATGGTGACATTTGTGTATACGGATTTGAGGCTGCAGCTAATGTTGCTGCATTATAAAATTCTAAAAAAAAAATATCAAATAATAAAACGTATTAAAAAATAGATAATATTTTAAAAATGAAATATAACTGACCAGGTGGATAGGCTGCAAATTGACGATCGAATCCATAATGAATTGCATCTGGACTATATGGTCCAAGATAATCACTGAATTCTGGTATCGATGCTAAAAAATGAACAATAAAAAAAATAGAATATTTGATAAAATAATTTTATTTTCTGCGCATCACTTGAGCGACAAAAAAAGCAAATTAAAACTTTTTTTTTTGAAAAGCTCTTTCTGATAGAGATTTCGATTTTGATCATGCGTTATCGCGACATCTCTTGTAATGCATCATGCATAGTTCAATTTAAAAAAAAAAAAAGATATGACCGTTCACTTGTAATCGATTACAGAAATAAAATTAAAAAAAAAAAGAAAGAAAAGAAGTTCAACATGCTATGTTCTGTATATTTCATCAATTTTAGTGGAATTTTTTCTTCTTGTCTATCATTTATTCATGCGTATAGTTTTTGTTGACAAGAAACGGATAGAACACAAGTGTACTCCTAGACAGAAAGAAAGAGGCATATATTAGTTTAGACATCTCTTCTTTTTTTAATTAATTAAAACTGAAATTGCCATTTTTCTATTTTAACTATTTTCTCTCTCTCTCTCTCTCTATTTTTTATGAGTATTAAAAGATTTTATGTGATTTATATGACAAGGAAAAGTCACCTATTTGATACCTGAGATTTTACACAAAGATCTCCGTAATTGTATCACTTTGCTCGATCGTTTTTAGTAGTAATGTCTTGTCATTGAGAAATTTAACAAAAACAAATAAGTAGATTAATAAAAAAAAAAGTGATTTATGGATTTGAATTACTATTATTTGTTAATCGAACTAGACACAATGACAAAGAAAGAGGCAAAAAAATGAAAAAAAAAAAATGTTGACCGTACATATACAGTATGACAAAAAACACATTAGAAATCATATGGGAATATAGACACATTTGACCATTGTCTTTATATGTCAAGTTAATTCTTCTGATTGTGCATCTCCATTGGGAATCTATATGGATGCGCTTTTTATGTAGTGTGTTGTTTTTTTTTTTTTGTTGAATTCATATATTTATATATATATAGAAATCATGCAAAGCAATGATGCATTACTGTCGGACAAGCAATTTTTATTCTTAGAGTGTATTTCGTTTCCTATATGGGTCAAGATTAAATACATACCTTTCTGAGCATTTGCTAAAATATCAAAAAGAAACATCTTAGCGAAAGAGTTTTTGATGATGATTAATATGCGCGAAAAAATAGAAAAAAAAAAGGCTTTAAATAGAGCGTTAGAATTTGGTAATTATTATTTGCTTATTTATAAGCATTATTATGCGTTTTAAAGCAAACAAATATATATTTGTTTTTATCTTGCCTCCTTTTGATATTTTGACATTATCGTGTTTGAAAGGTGTAACCGATATTCGTTTAATTTTATTTATACTAGTTTTACTATTATTATTTTTATTATTTTCACGACGATGATAAATTTTGTTCATACTATCGTCATCATTTGTTCTATGTGATGATACTGCTGCTGCTGCTGCTGCCACTGACTTTTCAACCAACTTACCAGCTCGATTTGATTGATCTATCATTGGTTGAACAATTCGTCTTCTGGCATTGATAAACCTAAGAGGAAAAAATAAAAATAATAACACATTTTATTAAGAAGTTATGGATACTCTTTCAAGTCAGTTAGTTTATTTGATTATTATTATTAAGATCGGCGCGCATTGTCTTTAATAATAAACACCACTTAATTAGACAAACTATGAAGACTATCGGCTTTCTTTGAGAATGTCCGTTACATTTGTGTTATAAATACCATTATTTTTTAGTGAGAATAGTAGAAGTATGTTCTGTTTAGATTATCTCTAATTGGATGATGTTCTTTGTACTTTTTTTTCCTGTAGATTGGCTACTGCACACTAGGTAGTCATCATCGATTGGGGCTAGTTATGAACACTAAGGAAAAAACATGTTTTGTTATTTTAGGGATATAATATGAATTATAAAAGAAGAAAACATGTTTTCTTAAAAATTAGTACTGATACTATCCCGTCTCATGTGAAGAAACTAGTTTTGTCTTCTACAGTTTGTCAATAATTATGATAAAAGACCTTGATTCACGTTCAATTTACTTTTTCATAAGACATTTTCTTTCTAAAATATGGTTCTTTTCAATGATATTTGATTTAGATATTTTCTTGTAAATTGTTGTATTATCTCTTCTATTAAGAAACTGTACTTTTTTTATCCTTAATATCGATTTTCAAGTTACTCATAGTGTATAACCTCCAAATACTATTAGGATACATAACATTAGACACAAAAAATACGAAAAGAGAAGAAAATTTGTTTAGGGCGGTACATATCGAAACCTGTCAGGCATGTTTATGAGGAAAAAAAATGATAAATGATGTCCATTTCGACGAAAATCATATATATATATATATGATAGATAAGACTTAACGATCAGTTTGGATTTGTATATATATGTGTGTGTATTTCGTCAAGGCAAGTATAGATATATAAATGAGAATAAGAAGTAAACCAGAAGACGTAAGAGTCTAATGAGTTTTTAATGATAGTCCAAAAAAAGAAGTAATGTATATCCGGGCAGATGTAGCTATCGAATACGTGATGAAAACAAACTCAAATGTTGGGTAATTTACTAAACATGACCAACTGTTATTTTAAACCCAAGAAAAAGAAACGTTTTGGACTATGATAAAACCTTTTCATTATAAAAAAAAAGAAGAAAAAAACGTTAATTATTTATCGGTCATTTCATGGCGATTATCATTATTGTTCACTTTAATCTCATGCCGCTTATCTATCACACATTTTGTCTTCTGTTTTTGACATTTGTACCAAACTTCAATCATAAAGTTGAATTTGTGTGCGTGTAAATAACACGACTATAAAAATAAAATGATAGTATCTCTCTCTCTCTTTCTCGTCAGCTGTCCAATGGTCAAAACCCTTATTTGTCACAAATGATGCCATAATCAATTGAATGTATGCACGTAGCCATAATCAATTGAATGTATGCACGTAACTCGCAAAAAAAACATCTAAAATCGTTATATATAATTAAAAAGAACACTAATCAGTTTTTATCACGAAATATTTCATTTTGTCCCTGTTCACATAATTCGTTCCTTTTTTTTGAACATTCGATACCTATGACAGGTACATTGAGAGATAGATTGAAGCCAATTATAAAAACATTTGATCATACAGATAAAATAAAAAAAAAATGAAAAAACATTTTTAGTTTGTAATTATGTGAAAAGATATATAGGCAAGTCAATGACGCCTATATTTCTTTTGGCGATTTAGATACGATAAAGTGATATGAGTGAAATCGAAACGGTACTTTTACATAAGTGTTTCTTTTTGAAAATAAAAAAATAAAACGTTTCCCGTAACATGCAAATGAATTGTATAAAGCTTTTAAACTTAGCTTAGATTTTTGAGATATATACATAAAGAAAAACTTCCACAAAAAGATGACATTGATTTAGTCTCTATTATCTTTACATAGTTCACAGTTCAAACACAAGGTATATGATGAGCTGTGAAATGTAGACTCAACCCTTGACGTCTATTCACCTTCAATAACTGCGCACGGGTCTAGTTGAACCCACTAGGAAAGGCATCAAAAGGTTCGATGGTTTTTGTTTGATTTAGACTTGCCATACATCAATCAAAAGCCCCGCTTATGCTCTCTCAGGCCGCGAATATGTCAGCAATTTTACCGGCATATGAAAAAAGATATAGGAACGTGATGATAAACACAAAATTTAAATTGGGTTCAGTTGGACCCCCAAACAACTGTCAAGGATCAACTGTGATCCTCGCAACCAATTTGCTTGTCATTAACTCGAGATTTGAATTAGATTAAAGTTTGTGTTTTCAGTATCACATCGGATAGATTTTGACTGTCGAAAACTTCAGAAACAACTATAAAACTATATTGTTTTATTTTACACACTTAAGATCGTATATCAGCTCTTTGTTAATCAAAGAAGAAACTAGTAGAGATCGACTCGGTCTCCTGTATTTTTGTAAAGAAAAAGAGAAAGTACGGCAACGAGTTTGTCAACCAACTACATATTTATGTTGTATACTAAATTAATGAAACGTATAATTTTTTCACATTCTCAAATCTATTTTATTCCCCCAAAAAAGTCTCATTTAATCTTGCTTCAAATATTTTGCCGATGTCTTAATTTATTACTTGTCTTCTTCGTGTATCGAAAAGAAAATTGTATTTGTTTTATATCTTGTTCTAATGGTAGACATACTTGTTACAATTATGAATACTATGTGCATTACTTATATTCACTAAACAATGTTTACTTTACTAATTGAGCATATTATTATACATACACATCGATATCTCTACTGTATATCTATAGTCAGAGTCAGTGTAGGATAAAATAAAGAAGAGAAAATTGAGAATAAACAACTGTGCATGGATAATATTATCTCTCTTTCAACTTGATCAAATTCTCAGGTCACATCACATTACTCTTCGTTCCATTTTAATTGATATCAACTGTCAGAATGCATTTAAAATAATGATCTCATTTTTATTCTCATTCTCATCTCATGTGATCTCAAAAGAAAAGAAAATCAGGTGAATACACACGTCAGCCATTATCATCAACAATTATTTTTTTCTTTTTTTTTTTTATTACACCTCTGTATATATATATATCTATCTATCTATCTTATTGTTTCAATTTGACAAAAAACAAAAGAATAAAAAAAAAGAAAGAAATTGACATTCACCTGACAATACCGATGATTTCTGGTACAATTATGACAATTACATTTAGTTTTTAACAGAGAAAAGATATGAGAAGAATTTGATTGGTGAATAAAAGACATTTATTTATTTTTGTCTAAAAGTGACCAGTTAAATTATTGCAGAACAAGAAAGAAAAATGATTCAACATATACATATGTGTACACAATTCATTTCATTCTAGTTTATATTGTGCGTGATTTTATAAAAATTTTAGAAGTGAACATCTGTAATACAAACTAATTAATATCAGTAGAAAAATTTATAAATTAAATATTTATACGTTATTATTAGTTATACGAATTGAATTTATCATTTTGAAATGAATGAAACATTACTTACCAGTTATTTACTAGAAAAAAAAGAAAAAGAAAAATTAATAAAGCAAAAGTTTTGAAAAGATGATGAAGCAATTTTACCTTGTAGTATAGTCAAACCAGTATCTTGTGCTAATTGCTTTTTCTGCTCTTCCGATGGATATGGATGCTATAATAAGATTAATACTTTATATTAAAACATATTGGATTCATTATATAATTGTAGTAAAACTTGAAAATTTCTCTCTCTGTTGAAAAATATTGAAAGCAATGATCAATGAGTTATTTTGAATCTTTGAACAAAAATGCATCACCGTTGCTAACAATACTCAAGTGTGCAAAGAAAGCTCTGACTCTATATGAGTATCCTACTCTATTATAAATAAACAAAATTTTTATGATATTCTGTGATGTGACACGATTTATAGCGCTTCAAACTTTCTACTAGAGATCGATTTTCTTTTTTCCAAGTATGCTCAAATCGAGTGTTCTCACTATCTCAGAGAATATTGTTGCTGAAAATTTGAGAATCAGAGAATTTATGAAACGCGGCATGGTTTCATATTAGAAATGAGTCAATTTTTGTATAAAATATTCTCATAATCTATCCTATATAGAAAATTTTTCTATTATTCTCACATTAGTAACTTTTATATTATCTATACGGATGTAATAAACAATAAAGAAAAAAGACGTTGCAGGCTAAATTAGTTATTGTTTACAGTATCTCTCTTTCTCTACATTAACTAATTTCATTGTAAACCTATCATATTCATTTTGATTAATGTAGTTTTCGGCTGATTGACAACAACAAACACACACACACACACACATATCATATGTATATATGTATACAGTAGATTTGTCATTGACATAGTTTGTCCTTTCATCACATTACTCTATATTTCCAAAATAAGTTCTCATTATGAATGAGTTAGAAATATATAATGATCCTTAACGCTCGATAATTAACTTATAAATGTAATGTGTTATATAATACATACAGTTAAATGTTGAAATAGCCATGCTCTCATGATATTTGTGGCTACTTTGGGAAATATGCCACGTTTTTTTTGTCGTTTTTTATTATTATCATCCGGATCATCTTCACCGCCTGTACCATCTCCAGAACATACACTGTTATCAAAATTGTCACCTAAATCAAAAAAAAAAAACATTAAATCTAATAAAATATGTTTTATTATGAAAAAAAGAAGAAGAGATTCAGTGATCATAATGAGATGATAGGTAAAATTCAGTTATTTTTTTAGTACTATGTAATTTGATATAGAATTATGTATAAAAAAAGTTTAAGATATATAATTTGATCAGATCATGCATACAAAGGTAAACTGATCCTTCACTATTAACACCTTAGGCGTAACATATAACAGCTTAAAGATATTGAGTATGCTTCCACCATTCATGACACGTGTAATGTGGTATATGTATTATAAAATATTCTGCACATACACGCACATATTATTATGCTCAATTAGAAATGATTGACAGTTATTTGGTTTGAGAATAAAATAAATAGAATGAACCTTGACACAATTATTTATTGTTACTTTGAAATCATTAAATGTGAAAAGCCAATCCCAGTTGGTATAATGAGTGTAAAACTCAATGAATGAATAAAAGAAGAAAAAATTTCATTATTATTCATTATATATTAACAGACATTGAAAATGCCTAAGGACCTCTACTAAAACTTTATTAATGAAAAAATCTAAATGATTAGTAAAAAAATTTTACGCATTAATTTTTGCTATACTATACATATTTTTAATTGAAGTAGAATGTTTTCTTATCAGTTTTCAACAATTTTACTTTATATTTTAACTTTTTTTCTTTAGAATTGTAAGTGAAATTCTATTCTAACTAAATGATGTTTAAAGATGATCATCTCTATAGCAGGTGATTAGCATATATGAACAATGAATGTTTGTCTGCAAATATAAAGAACAAAAGAGTCATCCCATCCATTGCTCTTTAAACCATGACTGTTAAAAGAAAATATGTCTTTTGTACATACACCAACAATGAAATAAGATCTATTTTGAGTGAACAACTGGAAGATAAAAGCAAAAACACTATAAAGTAATTTTGTTTTTCTTTTTTTTTTTTTTCTTGTCTTGTCTCGTACTTATCATATTTTACGCATTCTATTAATTCAATGTTTGATAAAATGAGATGAAATGAACAACTGTTCTGATAATAATAATAATAATCGAAAATGACAAAAAAAAAGGAGAAAAAAATTTGCAAAAACTCGTCTTTGGAAGACCTATATACATAGAATTGCAATATAGCCTTGTCTTTACATAGTCACGTAAAATACAAGACAAAATTTTTTAACATGCATACATCAGTAGTAAAGCACGTACAAACGAACACACTAATGAATGAAATGACCTGGGTACTTTGAACTGACAAGACCAATATGTTGTGTGTATGTCGGCGAAAAAAGATAGATACTGATCATTACATAAACATTTGATTTTTTTTTTTTGAACATATTCTACACGCAAACTTGTAATAAGTATATCTATCTATAGATAGATACATATGCGAAAAATGTATAAGCAGACTGATAATGTTTTTATTTGCAATTATATCTATGTTTCATTACACAGGGGAGTAAAACGGCACACAATAGAATATATGTTGTTATTATTATTATTATTATTATAATGGTAATTATGATTAGACGGCACGTGAAAAGCTATTTGAGATCTAAATATTTACTATATGTTCAAAAACTTTATAAAACAGAACTTACCAGTTTCACTGTTATTGTCTAAATTTTGTGATACATGACAGTTGTTTGGTGTTAAACCATTGGGAGTATCTGACGAATGTGTTGACTGCGTATCATCGCTATGAACTGAATGATGACTACTTCCACCACCACCTGTACCACCACCACTAGTACCATTTACACTACTCGTAATCCCATTGTTATGAAGAACATTGTGATTATGATTGTTGTTGTTGTTTTGATGATGATGATGAATATGATTTATAGCGGTAGATGATGATGAATTATGATGATTTGGTGTTAGACCATTTAACTGTGAACAATGAGACGACGATCTCAACTAAAAAAAAGAAAATAGAAGAAAACACTAAAAAATAATCTTCGGATTTTGAGAGAGATCCACTTGAAATTTTTGAAAAAAAAATGACAACAGCATTGACATTTCAATTGTTTATATGTGACAATGATATTTTCTATTCTCCGCCTCATTTATTGATATTCTAACACATTCAAGAGAGTCACTCCTGACACCTTGTTGAAAAATATATTGTTCAGCAACGTTTCTGTTTACTCATAAACGATAAAAAAAGAAAAAAAAAAAACGATTAATGCTATATGAAATATAACAATTCGATTATGACTTTAAAATTATATATAAACCCGTTAATGATCGATTGTATTATTATGTACACTTGAATGCGTCAATCATTTAACGACAAAAAAAAAGAAAGAAAATTCATCCTGAATATGTTTACATGGATATTATAATCTTATACCAGGTAAATATATTTGTTTAGAAAAACTAAATCAAAAAAAGGCAGTTATTGACGGGAAATCGAGAAAAAAAAAAGCATTTGACCTCTTGAAATGATCGTGTTCAATAGTAGAATGAATAACAATTTTTGTTAGATAGACAAACTTATTTTTTTTTTTTCTATGATGTTTATGTATGTATTTTAGCAAGAAAATCAATTTCATATTAATTCATGTATGAATAGAATGATCGATACGTTCACTTAGACATTGTAATTATGATTTTAATCAAAAAAAAATTTATTGTTCCAGTATATAAGCAAGATAACTGAATTGAATACATACTGTTTTAGAATAAGATGTTTCATTTGGTGGACTGTTATAAGATCGTGAACTTGTTGGTGTATTATTAGTATTATCTTCACTTTGTTCATCATCTGATTTTGATGATGAAACATTTGAATCACGTTCATCAATAACTAAATCCATTGGCATTTTGCCTTTTAAACATGTTATATAACGGTGACAAAAATTATCACATAATTCATGTACCTGAAAAAATAAAAAAATAAAAATAAAAATAAAATAGAAGATAGATGATAGGTTGAATGATGCAAATTTTCTCATTATCATTATACAAGGATGTGGTGAATGGTACGACCTTTGCCGCACATATAGCCATAATTTGTCTTATACGAGTTGATCGTTATCTATAATGAGTGAGTGAGTGAGAAAGCGAGAGATTATAGTAATCATAAACAGTCGTCACTGTCTGATAAATCGGTCAATCAAAGATGTCTTGGAAGAAAAAAAATAATAATAATAATAATAAAAATAAAAAAAAGTCTGATTTTATTAAGTAAGATAAATTAGTGTGTCGACAGTTTCGATGATTATATGAATATATATAACCTGTTAGCTCTTGAACTATATACAGGATAGAGTATAGATAAGAATAAATTCTAGTAGTAACAATAACTTACTTTTTCTAATTCAAGTAAATGAAATCGGAGTACTTGAACAGCTTGTATCATCTGTAAAATAAATAGAAAATAGTAACAATAATTTATTTTCATCTAAACACTATGATACTTACCAAATTGTCTAACTCTGGATTTGCTGTTATGTATGTGTGCTCTTTTTGAAGCTAAAAATAAAGATAGATTTATTTAAAATATCAAGCATTTATAGTTTCAATCAATAATCACATATTAAGATCATGCTGTTTTGATTTAGGTCTCGCGATAATCATCCACTTCTCTTATTTATCCTATAAATACTAAATCAATGATTCGTAAACATCATCTTGATAAAAAATAAAATAAAACAAAAAAAAAGGCTCTATCATATGATTAATTTAGTTCAAATTTGTCGATGTCTATGATCAATGGGTACATCTTGTTCTCTCCAATCATTTCAAGAGCTACTATTACTGTAGATAAATTAATCAAGCATATTTCCTTAATTTTTTCCTGTTCCTAAAGCTTTTTATTGATTCTTCTTTTACTATATGAAGAAGTGTAAAACATCAATGCTTTTATATTTTCAACAAATGATTACGATTTTTTGTTTTTACACAATTGGCAGGTGTTTCATCTCTCGCTTTAATAAATCAGAAAAAGAGATCCCATTTTTTTTTTTTTTTTTATTAGAACAGGAAATTGTGACAATTGACAAAAATTCTTTTTCATTCCAGACTTATCACCATTTGAATTGGCGTCTGTCGATGTGTGTATGTGTGATAATGATGGTGATGAAAAGTACCTTTCATTTCATTACATTCTTGATCTATTTATAAGCCGTTTCTTTTTTAAAATATGTCTTTTCATCAAGCTTATTACCATCTCTCTCTCACTCTTCTAAATTTACTTCTCATCTTCTTTAGGGTAAAAAAAAAACAAAAAACGTATCCGCCGAGAAAATCAGCTAATGATATTTTAATGACACACACCGTCAGAATACATTTTCCTCCATTCTCAAATGAATGAGTGAATTAACACAACTAAGAGATAAGAAAACACGTGCTGTGTTTGAATATGAATAATCCTTGTTTTCTTGAGTAAAAAAAAGAAAATATTTAGAACAATCATATTCTTGTTTATTGATGAAACGATTGTGCAATCTACTCGTCTGTCTAATATAAAACATATTCTTGTTTTTTCTCAGTTATTTTCACACATCCATATATATCTAAAACTTTATGCAGTAATCTAATTAAAACGAACTCTTTTTAAATACACACATCTTTCGAACTTTTAAATCTAAAACTAGACCAAAAATCAATCATTTTACATCGTTTTCTATTAATCAAGAAAATGACGTATTTATGATAAATTAACAAAAAACTTTTTTGTTTAAAGTGTCTATATAGATCTTTTCACTTCATTTTTGTTTTGTTCGTTGAGATTTTCTTTCTTTCTTTCTTTCTTTGTTCTCTCTTGTAATTACATTTTCTAACACATTCTTTTTTCATTTTGTCTAATAAATTAGCTTAGCATGAAGAAGAATAGAACTATATTCTTGAAAGATGATTACCAACTAACAAAGCTCTTCTTCTTGTTCATTTTTAATATAAGTGCCACCCACCCACCTCTATCTAAATTTTCAGAATAATATGAGCAATATTGTTCAGCAGTGGGACGTATAAACTCACATATTGTTAAATTATGATGAACAAGTATTCTTGATCAACAACACACAATAAAATTCTATTACACTTGAACAAGACGTTTATTTAATATACTTGAGAAAGAAAGGTGATGCTGTTGCTGTCATTTTTTAAGATTACTTGAAAACACATGTTGACTCTGGTGATGAACAACAATCCTTCAAGGACATAGTTCCAATATTATTATTATTATGTTAAACAATTTTATATTTTATTTTGTATTTTTTACTAAGCTTAATGCGTTATCTTTTCATACATTCAAGACATGATTGTATAGGTTAACTATATTAATGAGCGAACAATAATTATAGAAAGAAATAGATATAAACTGATGTTATCAAAAATGTTATGCATCATGATAGTTGATAAAAAAAAAAAGAAAAAAAAATATATAAAAATAAAACAGCAAATTATATGAGTATACTATTAATTGAAACTAAAATATATTTTCTATAAAATACAAAATTTTTAACCGTCAGACTTTCCTCTAGAGATGAAACGTTTGCCGGTTACACAAACGATACTTCTTTCTATTTTAGTTTTCTTTTTTTTTAAATATATTCTAGTGTCTAATATCTACTTGTTCACTAACTAATAATGTTCAAGTACTAGTAGCAAACAAAAGCAAACATACACACACACACAAAAATGAAAAAAAAAAAACTCTGTGCCAGATCTCCGATCATAATAAACACACGTATATTGACTTCTCTTTCACTCGTATACGTGTATGTATTTTCAAGTGGCTTATCGAAAAAAAAGTCTTATGATAACAGCCCTACTTGGATTATTGAACACAGATACTTCACTCTTAACCCTACACACACACACACACACACATATATATATATACACACGATTATATTTTTTTATTCGAATTTGATATTACGAATGTGTACTTAAGGTGTTCTCTATTGAATGTAAACAAAATGATAACATGCACAAAGTCAATTTTTTAAAGTTTAGAGTGTAGTATACTGTTATTCTAGAAAAGTGAGAGGAACAACAAACCTGTTTGGCAAAATCGGTAACATCGTCATTAAATGATTCCGATGAACAAACATCACCAGGTCCACTACCATCTCTCGGTGTACATGTGGCCAATTCACATTTTTCAAATATTAATGCCAATAGTGGAAATAATGGATGGCTAAAAGAGAAAAACAAAAGAAAAATGAAATTTATCTAGTAGTCTAAAAGTAAAATCCATTCTGTAAGAAAAAAAAACTACTAGAATGTTCAAAAATATGAACTTTTTATCTCACATACGCGTATAGTCGATCATTTGACGTTTGAAACTTTATCGAATCCATGAGACAGTGACCTCGTACTACTACGCCTAATACTTGTAACAGCAATCAGTATCTCCAATACAAACATTTTCTCCTAGTACTATTAATTTTGTAGATAATTCAAGGTTAATTTTTTTATTATCATAGAAGCTGTGACCAAACGACTCATCTATTATCGTTCAAAAGATGAAAGTGCGGCAGTATAACGATACTATTTCGAACATAACTGATCAAAACTCATCATTTTTTAATTGTCTACCGGGTAGAATGAAAAAAAACATTCCCAAAAAATAAAACGATTATAGAAGAAAAGCTGACTGTACAAAGAAGAAAAGAGAGAATTCATAACAAAATAAAAAAAAAAAGAGTAAACTACCTTTGTATTTCTATTACAGTCATATCAATTTACAAGAGTCGTTTAGTCGTTTTTTTTTTTGTTTGATGTTAACTTTAGATACGGTCAATTTCTCACATAGAACAGGGCAACAACTTTATTTATTTCCTTTTTTTGTTATTAATATTATTGTCAAAACTATTTTATCCATATTTGCTTCTTCGACTAGAAGTGTGTTTAGATTAAAACCAATAATAAATCGTTGCGCATGTACGGTGAATTTAATAACAATAATAATAGTAATGAGCGTTCTTTCTGTTTTTTTTCTTCTTCTTCTTCTTTTCTATTTTATCGCGTAAATTCGAGGAGCAAATATTATCAGAAAACCAAATTTAGAACAGCAGGCGTAATGATCATCAATCACTGTCAAGTATAGAGGAACGAGAGGGAGAGAGAACAAATGATAAGGTTATAATAGAGAAAAAAGATCTTGATTGTATATGTATATGTTCTTTTCGCTTTATTGATACGGAAAACTAGCTCTAATATGCACTGACAAAACACATCATACTACATAAAAAGGCAAAAAAAAAAATAATCATCTTATAGAAGAATGTATATGTATGATTAGTAGTATAGAGTATGATATTACGAACAAGATTAACCTAACCATAGCGAGGTGGAAATAAGAACAAGAAGAAACAATGTAGGATGCATAATTGAAATGGGGAGAGAAAGAGAGAGAGAGATGAGATTGTGTAGAAGTTTAATGTTGTTTGTCGGAAAGTATTGTAATTGGAAATCATACAGTGGATAGAAACCACTTTTACTGGTTTAATAAATAGTCATTTTACAATATTCAGATTCTTTTTGAAAAGAGTAAACGTTTTTTTTGGCCATTTACAGTCAACCTTTCTATATTGACTTGTTTTAGTCAAGAATGAAAATATTCTTTTTACAATCGTTCAGATATATATTGATTTTCATAGAAAAGTTTTCTGATTTTCTAGTCATAAAATACAATTTTTCATGTTAGAAATGTTTTAAATCTGAGAAAATTTTTTTGACCTCCAACGGTCAAAAAATTGCCTTTCTCATGTTATAAAAAATATTTTTGAAGCATGAAAATGCAAACGATCAAGTTTAATTCCAACATGAATCCAAATATTTTTATAGCAATATAAGTTACAATTAGATAAGAGTATAGTCCCAATAGTGTGACTTAGTGAGTCATTAACACGATTCTTTGTTTATTCGATGGTGAGACAGTTAAAAAAGTGCATGCTTCTTATGAGATAATTTCGTTTTTGTTGAATATCTAAACTAAAGGTAGATATAACGTATCATCATACAATGGATAATATTCGAAGCGTGAAGATAATGATCGGTTAAAAAAATTATATTTTGAAAAGCAGCTCGAAGGTGAATCGGACCAATGACTTTGAATGTAATCATCATTACTATTGAAAATGAGTACACACAAAAATAATATAGAAAGAATCTTAAATAATAGTTTGGTAAATATGGATATCATATCATGTACATATTTAAAAAGAAGTTATACTTTTCAATGTTAATCTACTCAAAAAAAAGGAATACAAAAAGTGAAAAAAAAAATAACAAATATTATTTTTATTATACAAAAGTCAAACCTGTTATTATCACCCAGTTTGTAATGAATGAACAAATGATATTTTCTCATTCTCTTTTAACATTATTTGTGTGACACACCACACCACACAATATTCTCTTCTCCTTTTTTTTCTTTTTTTGGAATAAAAATAATTTTATGATGATAATCGCGACATGTAGACTTAATATATTAATTGATGAAAACCACCACGCTACACTCATCTTTCTCTCGAAAAAAAAAATTTCATTGTCTTTTGTCAGTGATGTCTATGTGTGTATTTTTTCTTTGAGTATGTAACAAATACACGAGAAAAAAAATTAAAGAAAAATGTTGACATCTCTATGTATCAACTATAACAGACACGCTATAAAAGAATTTGTATATATATATATATATTTCTGACATTAAACCATTTATAAAAATAATTTATGAACAAAATCACTAGTTTTAGACAAAGTTAGAACAAGGAGGAAAAGAGGGAAAAAGAAAGAGCAGTTTATAAACAAAGTGATTCGTTCATTTTTATGTATATATTTTTTATTTTGTATTTTTTTTAATTTTTAATATTATATAAAAATGATATAGGACTATATTTCGTTTTTTATACAGTATATCTACAAATAAATATAAAATATTAGACTATTTTTTGAGATATATGTTGATGATTCATACACATTTCCAGATGATGCCTGTCGATATACATATGTAACATGAAGAGTAAAATGATATTATTATATTCTTGTTTTTGTATTGCATACGTAAGACGAAGCACAAAAAAAAAAAAATATAGAACAACCTGTCACTATTTAAAATATGACAAGCACGACAGAGGAAAAAAAAAATGTTTCAACTCTTTTACTATATTTACTATGAAGAATATACGTTGTACGTACTACTCATCATTTCACAAACATATAACAAAAGGTATGTAAATACATAATGAAAATATTTCTCATATTTTCGTACATACAATATATTCGGTTTATTGTTAAACTTGAAAATACCAAATTTTTAAGAAGTCTTCTCTCGTCAATCAAAGTCCCATTTTCTTTTTTTTTGTTCTTATATATGACAAATAACCTACTCTTTTACTTTTGACTATGTTATAAATTTTTACTTACTTACCTATATATCATATCTTTATTTTGTTTAATTTGAGTTTCGGGACTATTTGATGGTTGATGATGTGTTGGTGATGAATGATGACTTGTTTGTCCTCCGATTCCATTTGAATTAACAGGAAGATTTGCTATGCCAGGTGTTGTGACTGATATATTTTGTTGAAACATGGTAGTAGTCGGTGATGATGATGATGTTACCGCTAAATCATATTGACGTCGTTGTTGATCTTGATAAGCATTATTTTGTTCATGTTCAGTGGAAAATGAATAACCATAACCATTTGTTGGTGGTGGTGGAAGCTAAAACAAAATTTTAAGTTATTTAAATATTAGTAACTTGATAAAAAGATTTAAAATAACAACAATAAAATTGATATTATTTTTATTCTTTCAAAAATCATAATTTAAATATGTAATATACGATTACCCTTTGAGCCATATGAATCCCAATTTGGTATTAGTGACCTGACGGATATATTTGTTATAATAAATGAATGACGTGTCGTCGGTTGTAATTTATTTCGAGATATTTATCTGTCAATATATTCAAACAAATTACAGTTAATCGATGGTCGATGTCAAACGTGGTTTTAATTAATAACATTTGATATGATGATGATATTCATCATAATGGAACAAACATTACTAATAATATATATATATATATACTTCGCTTTTAATTTGTACTTAAAAATCTAGAGAGAAAAAAGAAAATGATTAATAAATATATAAGCGACAAGCAGTCAAAGTTAATAATGGCGATAAATTTTTTTTTTTTTTCATCCATTTAAAAAAAGAAAGAATGTTATTGTCGTCGTCGTCTTTATGTAACATATACTCTTCATATCTGTCGAATTTATTATAATATTTGACGTGATCAATGTTTGATGTATATGATTTGATAGTGTTTTATATGTATATCAATCTTTCATATACAATACTTCTCACCTCTCTGCTTTTCTCTTTCTCTCTCTCTCTCTCTTGGTTTATGAGTAAAAAAAGCGTTTTTTTCTATATATATATTTTTTTGTTTTTTTTTTGAGATCTATAAATCTGCTTATACAAGACACTTGTCTGTTAAATGTAAAAAAAAAGAAAAATTGACGATTCAAAAATGAAGATGGGTTGTGTGTGAATAGACTATCACGAACTGGCACTTGTAATTAGCCTTAATGGTGAACGTTTTCTTCTCTCGTTACTCTTTGTCTCTCTTTTCGACTAGTTCTAAGATTTGCAGAAAGAGAGAGAGAGAGAGACAGAGAGAACAAGAGAAAGAAAGAGAGAAAAAGAGAAAAAAAAATCTTTTTTTTCTGATTTTCCTATTGCTTTTCATACTATAGTGTTCTTTTTTTATTTTTCGTCGTGTTTTGTTACTGACAATATATTTTCAGTGTGACTTTAATGATGGTGATCGTGACGGGACTGTATGTACATCTATAAAAGAATATATATATAGTAATGATTGTTGTAAAGAAAAAACATACACATCCATTTTTATAGAAAGGGAAAAATGTCCATTAAGTTGGTTCGTCGTTGAAAAAATGTCGAGATGAAAATCGTCCAGCCAAAATCGTGGGAAAGGAAAACTTTTTTTCTATTTTTCCTTCGTGATGTACATTGATATTTTTTTTTTCTTTCTCTCTTTCTTTCGCTCTACATGGTTGTTCGTACGCACATGACAAAAGATTTTTCTTTGTTATTATTAAAGTTTTTGCTTTGCTCAATTTATCTTTTCCGATAGCTGGAAGACAACGCTTTTGTGATGCTTTTTCCTTTAAATCTAAGATTACCCCTCACTATTATTGTCATCAGTCTATTAGTCAAAGTTTCGATGTTGTGCCGTTATTATGCAAGAGAAAAAGAAGGAAGCACATATACGTCAGAATTAAGTTTCATTTTGTCATAAAAAAAAAAAAACTGTTCACACCCAATGAGAAAATAAAAAGAGGTTGACGAAGATTGATCGTGTCTGTCCAATAAGAATAAAAAAAAAAGAAAAATACAACACACTTCACATATAATAGAAAAATATAAACTTAAACTTGTAAATTACTAACAGAATAAAATGGAACTTTGTGCACAAGAGAAATTATCTGCAAAATTTTTCTGGAATTTTAAAGAACTATTTTCTGTTTAAATTATACACTTTCCAAAGTTGAACTACAACAGAAATTAGATATGAAAAATGTTCGATCTGGCCCTAAATAAAACTGTATAGGATAGCGTCATCTTTTTCATGAAAATAACACAGAAAACTGTATGGTTGAATAATCAAGTGAAAACAGAGATGGTGTATCTGATTTGTTTTTTCACTCATTACCATTTTTAATGTCTTTCTCAGATGTCGGTCACCCACTCACAAGACGGCATCAATTTTTCAGTTCTACAGCAATTGACTTTTCTAAAACTCATGAAAAAGCTACGTAATCCTGACAGTCTAACAGAGAAGATACAGATAAGACTATAGTGCAAAAAGAGCGTATACAATACCACACTTAATTAAGAGATTAAGAACATTTAGTCAACCTATTAAAAGCATATCCGTAGGATGAGGGGCAATCAGCAGCAAAAATAATCGTATTTTCCTATCAAGACACATCTCCTCCTGAAATCTTGAGTACTTTTTTCAGCTCCAATCGAAGGTGAGTCGGAGTTCTATAGTTTTTTCTCGGAATTGAAGCACAGATTTCAGCCAGTTGTCTCTTCACGAGCCTTTGGCTTCAAGTACACTCTAAAAAAAAGTGTTCTTCAGTTTTTCAAAGAGCTGAAAAATCAATGAAAATTTTGTTCTTCATTTGTCCCAAATAGAGAACTGAGATTCTATTCTTCAATTTCCAAATAACGCAAAAAATCAGTTTTTCAAAAATTGAAGAGCAAAATTTGATTTGATTTTTCAGTTCTTTGAAAAACTGAAGAACATCTCCTTTTAGACTGTAGTTCCAGTGAAGTTTATGATGAGCTAATGATGAAGACATAGAGAGTAAATCGAGTTACCACTCCAATTACATTCCATAAATTGCTTTACGACTCTTTCGATAGCACACAACAACGAGAAATGTCTAAAACCCCCATGTTCACTTCCAATTCATACACCGTTTTGTTTTTTCTAGCGTTAACTAAAAACCACCGCCATCGATGCAAAAAAACGTTAGAAAATTTCTTACTTACAACTCAGGATCTGGTCAAGTGATGACATAGCTATGCAGCTGTCTTGTTCAACAGACATGCCAACTGTAAAATAATATTGAAAAGAGGGAATAACTCTGATTCATCCAAAAAATGTTCATAAAACAAGCACAATAGTTTTACATAAAAATCCTTTTCTTTTAGAGGCTTTTTTTGCTATGTAGCACAGTAAGTTTTCACAAAACGTAATATTCTAACCCTAATCTAATCGAGTAAACGCAGGTAAATGAATACTTTGGTGAAGAAACATATCCTTAAATAGGACGAATAATTTAGGGAGTAATGAAACTTTTAACTTTCTACTCAACATCCTAATTATCGTCTGAATTATCAACTTGTATTAAAAAAATCTACATCAGTAGTATTACTCAGTTAAAGTCAAGCTTTCCATAAACTGAAAAATAGATGTTAATGTTTTCTTAGGTTACAGCAAGCCTTCTGTGCTAAGGTATTATTTCTAACCAAATTTCAGTCAGAGAAAAAACACATTAGTTTATGTCTGTTATAGTAGACAGCCCTATTGTATTTTCAAACCGAGCATGCTACCCGACCATTGATAGAGGTCGCTCTGAATTGGTCTGGATAAAGAAAATTTAAAACTGAATACGGTACTAACAAAGACGCTCGCGGATTACATTAAATCTATGCTAACTGTATAAACAGCGGTATCCTTTTTTCAATCTTAAGAATAATCTTGAATCATTTAATCTACTGCCTAACGGTTAGTATCTAGTATCGAATTTCTTAATTTATGCATTTAGTTAACGATGTTCCCGCTTTTTTTCCCTTCAAAGTTTAACTTTGCTAGGTTTAATTTTATTTCAAAAATCTAAAGTAATAGTTGATCAAATATTAACGCAGCTGGATATATATTTTCTTTCTTTTATCGTCTCTCTCAATCGTTTGAACATATGTGAAAATGATAATTTCTACGGGGGTGTTTTTATTTTTTATATGGCAGCAAAAACAAATTTTCTTCTTTTTTATGTCTTCTGCTTTTATGCGTGTAATAAAAAAAAAGTTTAATTTCGATCTATAATTTTAATAATGCTATTGGGTGGTCCCATGACATTTTTTTCCATCCATCAATCTTTTGACGGTTCGTTTCTCACAAACGCTCCAGTTCCATTTCAGTTTTTTCTTCATATATGATTTATATATATTTTTTTTTCTCAAAAAAAAAAAACTACATAAAATAAATATATAATAACCATATTCCATGTATACAGGCGATGAACACAAACAACAACTTCAAAAGAGAGAGAAACGACAGAAATGGGTTCTGCATAAATGCACGTATACATTGTTCAACATTAATATTTAAAAAATAAAGAGAGCGAAAGAGAGAGAGAGAGAGAGAGAGAGAGAGAGAAAAGACAAAAACTTGTGCATTCATGCAAAATAAACCAAATCATATAGTTAGTTGTAAGTTTTAGACGTAGAAAACAAACCATGACGTACTATAGAATGACGTCAATGAAAGTCATAGTATGATGCTGATGGCCAAAGGAGAGGATATTTTTTGCATCACATCTTTCAAATAGTCTAATATTCGTATCGCCTAGGATTAAAATGCTGCTACAGAAAGTATCTTGATCATTTTTAGTTAAAAAATTCTGCTTTGCTGCAAAAATATTTATTTTCTATAATATAAAATCTTGGATTCTTCTTGCCACCATAGGAAGAAAAAAGGACACAAAATATGGAGCGCCTGTACCCGCTTCAGATTCATAGCAAATCTCTGATCATAATGTAAGATGATCAATAGATCTGTTTTAGCTCTTCATTTACATTCTTTTTCAAAGATCATTTGCAATGATGAGTCTGCACTAACCGCCATCGGCAAACTAATACTGTCAATCGACTGACGAAAGTAAGCTATGTTTGTCACCGAAAAAAAAGCAACTGAATCCTTATAAACTCTAAATTTCAGGATGATTACATTTATCTTTCTTTTTCTCTGATCGTTGTTACTTTACATCATGATCATCTTCTTTTGCGATTGATTACATTCATTCATCATTGCTTTTATATACCTTTTTATTCTTTTCGATTTGCCTTTCATTTAATTAACCATCTCTATCGCATCTATTTTTAAATGATTATAATAGGATTTCACACTTTATATAAATTCGTGTGTGTGATGATATAGTTTATATTTTTTCGAGAACAAACGCTCGTTGAAGATTGCTTGACTTATCCGTTGAACATAATATGGTCTACAAACACATACATAGATTTTCATACGTTTGA